AAAAAAAAAAAAAGTAAAGAGATAAAGGATCTAAATGATACCATAAATCAAATGGACTTAACAGACATCTATAGAACTTTCCATCCAAAAACCACAAGAAACACATTTTTCTCACCCACACATGGAAGCTTCTCGAAGACTGACCACAATTATAGGGCACAAAGCAAGGCTCTACAGATTCAAGGACATAGAAACTATATACAGCATCTTCTCTGACCATGATGGAATTAAACTTGAGTTTAATTTCAAGAGAAATAGTCAAAAATACTCAAATACATGGAAACTAAATAACCTACTCCAGAATGACTCCACAACTACTGAAGAAATAAAGACTGAAATAAAAAGATTTATGGAAGCCAATGACAACAAGGACACAAGTTTCCATAATCTTTGGGACACTGCTAAAGCAGTCATGAGAGGGAAGTTCAGAGCAATTAGTGTACATAAGAGGAAGATGGAAAGAAGGCAAATGGACCACCTAACACCATGCCTCAAATGGACCACCTAACACCATGGAAAAGCAACGGCAAAAGGATCCAAAAAACTCCAGAAGAAAGGAAATAATAAAGATACGAACAGAAATAAATGAAATAGAAAATAAACTATACAGTAAAAGTAAAAGTGGTTCTTTGAAAAGATAAACAAAATGGATACACCACTAGCGAGACTTATTAAGAAGAGAGAAAGGAACCAGATGAATTGGATCTGCAATGAAGCAGGCAAAATAACAATAGACATAGTAGAAATACAAAACATTAAGAGGATACTATGAACATCTGTATGCCAAGAAACAAGATAATCTGGATGAGATGGACAAATACCTGAACACATATAATCTATGTAGATTGAGCAAGGAGGATATAGAAAGTCTGAATAGGCCCATTGTGGAGCGCCCCCGCCCTAACATGGCGCCGAGAGCACCCAGACCTCTACACAAACAAGCCCATATTTGGTTATCGTTCCTGTTCCGGAACGCGTAGGCACTGCCTCAGCCTATCAGTGCTTGCCTGGTGGCAAAAGAGGACTGGTTCACGGGACGGATATATAGGGAGCCCGGGTGGGCTGGGGAAAGAAGGCTGAAGAAGGCTGGGGAGAAAGAAGGAGGGAGAAGGAAGAAGACTGTAAGAAGCCTGGGGTAATAAAGCATTCCGGAGAAGACCTTGACAGCGTCGTCATTTGAAGCGACAGCCCATAACAAGCCAGGAGATTGAATCCAGTAATAAATAACCTCCCAATAAAGAAAAGCCCTGGCCCTGATGGATTCACCTCTGAATTATATAAAACTTTCAAAGAAGAGTTAACCCCCATTCTCCTCAAGTTATTTCTAAAGATCCAGAGGGTGAATCTCTCCCTAAGTCATACTATAAAGCCTCTATCACCCTTATCCTTAAAACAGATAAGGACAAGATAAGGAAGAAAAACTACAGACCAATATCTCTGATGAATATATATGCAAAGATTCTCAACAAGATACTAGCAAATTGTATCCAGCAACTTATAAAAAAGGTTATACATCATGATCAGGTAGGCTTTATCCCAGGAATGCAAGGTTGGTTCAACATACGCAAAACCATAAATGTAAAACACCATATTAATAGGAAGAAAGATAAAAACCATATGGTCATATCAATTGATACAGAAAAATAATTTGATAAGACACAAAAATCCCTTCATGATCAAGACTCTCAGTAAAATCAGCATAGAAGGGTCATTCCTCAACACAATAAAAGCTATCTATGAAAAACCCATAGCAAACATCATCCTGAATGGAGAAAAGCTGAAAGCTTTTCCACTAAAAAGTGATACAAGACAAGGATGCCCACTTTCTCCACTCCTCTTCAATATAGTACTGGAAGTTCTTGACAATGCAATCAGAAAAGAGGAAAAAATAAAAGGCATTCAAATAGGAAAAGAAAAGGTGAAACTCTATTTGCAGATGACATAATTGTATACATAGAAGACCCAATGGTTTCTTTGAAAAACTTTCTAGAAGTAATACATGAATACAGTAGTTACAGGATACAAAATTAATATCCAGAAATCTATAGCATTTCTATAT